AAAAAAGAATAGCTGGGATTGGAAACCAGGCCTGACTCAAAAACTCATGTTTGGCAATTATGTTATTACTGCTGACTATTTTCAAATAATTTCATCTTCAGTCAAAGAATATTTTCTTTCTGTGATTTACATAGGTTTCCCTCTGCTGTATGGCAAGGTAGCAAGCCATTGGGTAGCAGTTGCATTGCTGAAGCCTGACAAATATCAGACTTTCTTCTTAGAATGCTGGTACACTCAGCCAGGACAGCAAATTCAAAATGGAGTCATCAGTCCAAAGGATAAAGTGGAGAACCAAACACAGGTCAGAGAAATAGGCAAGAGGGATCTGGGAGAAATAATTTTGACTGTTTAAAAGGCAAAATTAAAGATAACATAACTGAAAAAGCACTTATTCTATTAAAAGAAGAAAGTCTGTAACGGAAGAAGTTTGAAATCATTGTTTTTTTTAATGTTATAACTTGAAGTATTTTTCTCCTCCATTTTTCCAAAGTAAAATGGAGCTATTGCTAACTGTAGGCAATATATGGCAGAAGAGGGCCTGGAATGGAAGGAAATACTTCTGAGAATGAATCAGAATCTGAGTGGGAGCAGCAGTGACTAGAAATGACAAAACTCAAAATATTTACTGTAAAAGACAAAGAATTTTAACATTGTTGCAGAAAAACGTGTTACAGCTCAGTTGTGACAGCAATCTATATCCAGGTGAGAGACAAGGCAGCACTCAGAGAGTTGGAGAACTCAGGTTTATTATTACATCAGCCTACCCAGAAGACTTAACACTCCCAAGAACTGGACCCCGTCTGTAGGTTTAAACAGGCCTTTATAGGCTGCCAGTTTTACACTCTGCAACATCATATGCAAATAAAGTATAACAGAAGTTGACCAACAAGGAACAAGCTTTGTAGAAATAGACCAAACAGGAGTGAGAGAAACAACCAATCAGGAGTGAGCTCCATGCAAATAAAGTACTACAAGTGGACCAATCAGAAGTTAGGGAAGTGGACCAATCAGGATTGAAGAAACTAACCAATCAGAAGTGAGCTCAGGGAACCAATAGAATTTTAGGGGTAAGTAAGCCATTTCAGAGGCAAAAAGTGAGAGAGAGTCTCTGGGCCAGGGAACCGGATGGTGCCGGCAGGAGAGTAGTGGCCCTCCTTGGGGGTTCTGCCTCAACATTACCCAAATTTCGTCAAGGTAACTTGCGTGTTCCAGAAAAGCAAGAATACAGTCGCTAGAGTGGGAGGACCAAGAGAATTAGACTTGATTTTAAAACCTACACTTATAAGTGGTGTAGTGTAGGACAAACTACCTGACCTCCCCAAGCCTCAGTTTCTTTATTGTAGGGAGCTGTGAGCATTTACTGACTACTAGGGCCAGGACTGTACTACGTATGTGCTAGGGATACAAAAATGAAGACGGTATTGTCCTTGCCCTCAACTTCAATATTAATGTAATAAATATTATGATACAAACTACTGAATGTTTTCTATGTGCCACGTATTACTATAAATGCTTTTAACGTACTAAATCTTCATTTAGCCCTCTTCTGAACCTAAAACGTATGTACTGTTATCATTTACATTCATATAAGAGGCACCGAGAAATTAAGTATCTTGCCTACGATCAAACAGCCACCCGAGTTGGAGCTGGGTCACATGCTATCATAGGGCAGGAACTTACAAATTTGTGCATGCGCAGTACGGCAGTGGAACTTTACACATGGAAGGAGCAGTTTTCTCCCGTTCGCAAAATAGGGATTAAACTATTACTTCTTGGGGGTTGTACCGATTAAGTGAAATATCATATTTAATAATCAGTATTGTGCTGAATACTAAATTATCAATATTAACTTCCTTTTATTTAGGTTGCATCACCGTGGCGAAGCGTTAAGAGTGTTTTCAAGGCTTTAGCTTTTCAAATTGATAATTTATACCGTTACCAACAACGTAAGAGCCTTTCAGTTGCTTTAGGTTATGATATGATAGAGCAAATGTCTCCAATTACTTTTTTCCATTCTTAGTCTCACCTACTTTCTCTCTCAAGTATTCCATCTCCCCCATTTCATACTGCCACCGCCACCACAAGCGAAGTTCTCCGAGGAACCGCGGAGCGGCGCGTGGGCGGCCGTCTCCTGCCGCTACAGCCGTTACCCCGCCCTCTCGCACAGGGCGCGAACGCTCAACCCAGTTCTCGCGAGAGGAGACGGTTTTTTTTTTCAAACGAGAACTTGTAACCCCGCCTCACCTCTCAAGGGTCATAAGATTAGCGCCTGCGTCCTAGACCCAAGATCTTTCCTGGTCGCCTACTGGCTATTAACTCGGCTACGGGCTGAGCCGAGGTCCATTACGGAAGTAAGTCCTTTAAGAGCACCCCGGCCCCTGCTCTTCGGCGGAAGCGTGTCACAATGTAGCCGTCCGCCCTTAGCGGAAGTTCGTCGCGTCGCAGTTGCCCCCGCACAGCGGATGTGTGTCGCCGCTTAGGTGACGCTGGGAAGTGCTTGCAGCCTTCGCCGCTGCCTTCTGGTTGAAGCACTATGGAGGGAGAGAGGAAGAATAACAATAAACGGTGGTATTTTACTCGAGAACAGCTGGAAAATAGCCCATCCCGTCGTTTTGGCGTGGACCCAGATAAAGAACTTTCTTATCGCCAGCAGGCGGCCAATCTGCTCCAGGACATGGGCCAGCGTCTTTACGTGTATCCTTGCGGCCTAGGCCTTCGGCCTTGGAGTCAGTCGCGCCCTACTCGGGCGTCCAGCCCTCAGGGTCTGTCGCACAGAAGGGAAGAGGGTGGGCAGGGACTGGATGTCTAGTTGAGAGAGCCTCTGATGGGGCGGGCTGAAGGTAAGTGTTCGCGGAAGGGAAGCGAGGCGGAGTTAGTTTCCCGCTCGCTCACCTGTGCCACCAACTTGCTGGGAATTCGTATCCTTCCCGCTTTGTGTTTTAACTAGCTCTTCCTAGTAGTCCATTTTCGGTGTATTCTGATCTTCTGCTTGGTAACTTTGAGATTGTGCCTTTTTACTATGCTCTAGGGGTCTGTTGGAGGTCTAACTGTTGACGGCTGCCTCTTGAACTTAGTGCGTAAAGAGAGTTTTGAGAAAATTCAGTACCTGACGGTCCTATAAAAAGGGTGGCCTAGAATTAATGCCCCAGTTTTGGCTCAGAATATGTTCCTCACACTAGCTGTTTCAGAAACCTGTCAAATTCTTATTTTTCTTTTCTGTAAAATGGGGTGACACCTCTTGAATTTGATTTCTATGCCCAACACAGTGATTGGTACTCAGACGTTCAAAAAGTAGTTACTGTTAAGTTTTATAGCATTTCGGAGGAAGGAAGGATGTCAGTTTAGATTTGTAGGGATGTATACCTACAGAGCTGATGTTGTAAAGCACTATTTATAAAATACTGAGCTTTTAAGTTACTCAGAGTGGTAATGTATATTCGTCTTCCTCGTATTTAAAAGATTTAGTTTTTTTTTGCTTTTCAAGTTTTGGTTTTTTTTTTTGTCGGAAAACATACTTATTTTGTATTGGAGAAAGCTAATATAGTTTTAAAGTCTTTCCACTCTGAAAGTGAAAAATTATTTTTGCGTGCAGTTTCCACTTAAATATGTTGCTGGCAGTAATGTTTGTATCTTAAGTTTGTGCTCACTATGGAGGTTTTGCTAAAAGCTAAAAATAGAACTACATATGACCCGTAATTCCACTCCTGGGTATATATCCCAAAAAACTAAAAATACTTATTTGAAAAGGTATGTGCACCCTCAATGTTTATAGCAACATTATTTACAATTGCCAAGATACGGAAGCAAGTTTAGTGTTCATCAATAGGTAAATGGATAAAGATGTGGTATATGTATTCAATAGAATACTACTCAGCCGTAAAAATGGAAGTTTGCCATTTGCAGCAAAATGGATGAACTTGATGGCATTATACTAAGTGAAATAAGCCAGAGAAAGACAAATACTATACATATCACTTATATGTAGAATCTAAAAATATGACAAACTAGCAAGGAAAACAAGCAGACTTGCAGATACAGAAAACTAGTGTTTACAAGGGAAGGAGGATGGGCAAAATAGAGGTGGGAGAGTGGGAGGTACAAACCACTGGGTGTGAGACAGGCTACAAGGATTTATTGTACAACAGGAGGAATATAGCCAGTATTTTATAATAATGAAATGGGAAATAACCTATTAAAGTTGTATGAAAAATCAGAAAAGAAGTTTTTCTTTTCAGTAAGTATCAAATAATTCACTGAATGAATATCAGATTGGTCCCAGGGTTCACCGTATGAGAAGGCTTGGTTGCCAGAGAGAAGTAGAACTGAAAAGTTAATTGCTGGAGCCTAGAAGATGAGATAAGTGGAGACATACTAGAGGGCAGACCCGGGAGGGCGTTGTAAATCCTGTGAAGAGATATCCTGTGCAAGTGGATCACTTTGGCAGGATTTCCAACAGGTGAATGACAGGTTTAGGTCTTAGATAATTTTGTTTGTATTCCTTTTTGATCCACACATACTGAGAAGCTTGCTTGTTCATTAATTCAGCAACTTTATAGTGAATACCTGTTACATATAAGGCATTGTGCTATGTCAATTAGAGGTTACTAATTTGATGAAAGAACACATCTGCTTTTTAATTCTGAGAGGTAAATATGATTTTTATTTAGGAGCATCTGCTGTGCTTTCACTGCATGGTCCTTTTGGGGCGCATATAAAGGTTGTCTTTTTGCAATTGTACTACTTACCTGTTTTGTGGCCTTAACTTGAACATTTTAGCTCACAATTGACTATCAACACTGCTATAGTATACATGCATCGATTCTACATGATTCAGTCCTTTACACAGTTCCATCGAAATGTAAGTATAATTTTTTTATTTGGTATAATCCTTTTGTGATTAATTCCAACTTCATATTTCTTGAGTGGTTAATCTTTGCTGCTAAACTGGGATAAAATTTAGGATCTATCAGTTTCATTATGCGTTGCACTGCTGTTCTCAACCCAGTCTTCCAGTTTTCTTACGAAGTTTCTTGTGAAGTCTAGCTAGTTGTTTGGTGGGTTTAGTGCATACTTGGAGTCGGCGGATTCTAATAAAGAAATAGATAATTGAAGACTTAACATTTTTGGGTTCGGAGAGTAACATTAAAGGGGAAACTATGCTTAATTTTTGAAAAGTAATTAATTTTTGAAGTGTAGTTTTTGAAATGGTTAGTAATATGGACACAGGAAGACAATGTAATGTAAGTCAGTCATTTGGATTTTCTAAACGCCTTTGGTAAAATTCCAATCAGTGACCAGAAGGGGAAAGTACATTATGTGATGACTGCAGATGACTTGTAAGACAGGAAGAAGAAAATAATAGTAATAAAGGGATTTTTTTTCCTGGACAGAATTATAAATAATACTATTTTCAGTTTTGCTACCTGAAATGGTCCTGTTTAACATCATTGTAAATGACTTGGAAGCAAATGCATAGGGATATCCCAGTTGCAGGTAAGATTAAATTTGTTTAATAAAATCACAAGGTAATAGGGCTCAACTTGATGAACACTTCGGTGGATTTGTGAGTCAAGTATTTCATCATATTTTTAAGAAAAGGTTATATTTTGAGGAAAAATATTTCAGACATTCTTAAGATGATGGATCTTGAACTCTTTTTATGCCATAAGAAGAGAATCTGTAAAGCTAGATACTGCTCTTACAAGATACTGGTGAAAAGTTTCTTTTGTGTAGCACAGGTAACTGTGGTCGATATCTTGTAATAATTTGTAATGGAAAAAATATGAAGGCGAATATATGTACGTATATACAAGACTAGGACATTGTGCTGTACACCAGAAATTGATACATTGTAATTGACTGTACTTCAATTAAAAAAAATAAGATATTGGTGGACTCAGTATTGGAAGTAACTGCACAGAAACCCCTTAGATTTGTGGATAAAATATTCCCAATTTTTCCTGATTATCCAATCCATTAGGCTCTCTCCTACTCTTAACCTCCCTGCCCTTCAGCCACACCCTACCTCTGATTGCAAGGAACACACTCTTATTAAGGGAGAGAGAAGCATTTAATGAGGCTGACAGCTCTAGAATAGAAAGTAGTCGATAAAAAACGGAATTTGAAGGGGAAGCCCATAGCTGTCTTGACAATTTTGAAAGTTTTCTGCATTTCTTTTATTATGGTAAAGGTTTGAAATCCAGGGTGAACTATCTTTCAAATCAATTTGTCCTTTCTATGCATGTGTGTGTGTGTGTGTGTGTATCTATATTTCCCCTACTTTCACCTTTTAAATTATAACTTGTTTTCTGTGTGTTTATTTTAGCAGGGGTAGGGACTCATTTTCTGTGTGTCCTCTAAAGCCCCTTGAGTAAACTTGTTGAATGAGTGAATAATACGGTAATTATCCAACATGGATTCTTTTGGATTTCATGGCCTTTTCCAAAATTCAGTGATTCTTTTAATTTGGGCTTATAGATCCTCTTTAGAGAATTGACTTCAAGCACATTCTGGATTAACAGATGAAAAATGTCACTCCTTCAGTATGTTAACTCTAAGAATTCAGCTGTGATGAATCCAAGTTCATATTTAGAGGACTTAATACATTGTTATGGCATTGTTATATAATGTGTCCTATGAGGTGCTCATACATTTTTCTTATTATTTTTTCCGATTACAAAGGTAATAAATGCCCACGATAAAAATTAAAACAAGACAGACATGTATAATGTAAAAAGTGAAAGCTCTTCTGTAATCCCACCCTCCAGAAGTAACTTTTGATAAACATTTTGGCATATAGTATCCCAGACGTTTTTCTGTGCATATAGTACCAGTATTTATATATTTCCATAAAAATCACTTCTTACTATACTACTTTTACACAGTTGCCTTTATCACTTAACGATATGTATATATTGGACATTTTTCTCATTGGTTCCTCATTATTTTAAATGGCCACATAGTATTTGAGTAGTTACCATATTTTACCAGCTCCCAATTGGTGAGCTGGTTTGAAGTCCAGGGTAAACTACATCTCAGATCAGTTTGTCCTTTCTATGCATGTGTTTATGTGTGTTTATATATTTCCTCTACTTTACCTTTTAAATTACATCTTGTTTTATTTTCTATGTGTTAATCTTAGCAAGGGCAGAGACTCCCTTTTATGTGTATTCTCTAAAGCACCTTCTGTAAACTTGTTGAATGAATGATCTGGTAATTATCCAGTTTGGGTTATTCCTAGTTTATTGTATTATAAGTAATGTTACATAAGATGGTCTGTTAAATATATCATGCATTTACATGACTATTTAATAAATTGCTGTAGGTGGAATTGCTGTGTCCAGGGGGATGCATCTAAAAGATTTTTGTTGTGTCAGTTTGCTCTCCTGAAAGATCATGTCAACATACATTGTTTCCAGCACTGTGGGAGAGTTCTTTTCTCTGAAACAGATATTCGTTACTTTAGGAAATACTAAGTTCTGACTACTTTTCAAGCACTAGAGATAGAGTGGTGAACAAGATAGAGGGAGTCCTAAATTATTTTCTTAATTTACATTCCTTCAGTTAGTGAAGTTGAGCTTCTTAAACCTGTTGGTTATTGATCTTGTGAAAGTGAAGAATTGACTTAAAAATTGACTGTTGATTCTCTTTGCCCCTATTTTATTGTTTTGATCTTTTTCTTTTATGAGCTATTTGTATATTAGAGCTGTATGTCATTGCCATGAATACTTTCCTCAGTGTGTTGCTTACAGTGTTTTAGAGCCTAAAGCTCTTGCTTTTTTCCTTTTAAAAAAATTTTATTGAGTTATAACATACAGTAAAGCGCAGAAGTCTAAGATGTGCAGCTTGATTACTTTTTGCATTGTGTATATGTAACCACCACTCAGAACAAGATATATTATATTGCCAACAACCTGGAAGGTAGAGAATTTGTCTTTTGATTGAAATAAATTTTATTTCTTTAGTGGACATGATTAAATCACCGAGTTACTTTTTTCCGATTAAATCCTGGCATTGCATTTACTCTCTTTTTGAGGAGAAATACAGCCTCATTAGTTGAATTTCTATGTGTACTGTTTAAAATTTTTTTCAGGTGGTGGAATGCAAAAGTAGTGGTGAGCAACCTCGTGTGTGTGTATTTATGTTGTATTTTATATATTTAAAATACCAGTGTTACATTTTAATTGCTGACAAATTGGGGTATATATTACTCTCTGGAGTCAGACTTGACTGGATTTGGATTCTTGCTGCACTGCCTACCAGCTCTAAGGCTTTGGGCAAGTTACCATAAGCCTCAATTTTCTCATCTCTTTGGAGTCAATAATAGTGCCTACCTCATATAATGGTAAATAGGATTTAGGTGAATTAATTTACAAAGTGCCTGCACATAGCAAATGAATAAGTATTAGCTGGCATTATTATTATTCTTTTAAAATGGAGAAAATCTTGTACTCTTGCCTGGAGTAAGAATTCGTCTTAGAAATTGCCTTTGATGGGAAAGCCCTTTAATAAGCTAGCTTGGTATGTGATTCCATGAGGAACAGTGAGTATTTATATGGTTGATTGCACAAAAATTAGATTGAAATTTATCTCCTGCAGTCTTTTATTTACTAAGATATTATTTTGCCTAGCTAGCCACTGTTTGTATATCGTATTTTAGTTAGATTCTTTCAAATTTATTTTTAGCCCCTTTAAGGCAAAGTTGTAGGCTGAAAATCTTGGTGGTGTCTTTGAGTTGACCTTTTCTCTTTCCCCTTTGTCCAATCAGTTATAAAGTCCTGTTAATTTTTATAGTGGTACGGTTTTTTCTCTCCCTATAAATACATATTGTTACCATATAATTAAAAGAAGACAGAATAAAAGAGAAATGATGATTTCTGTATAACCCATTGTTCAGAGATAATCCTGTTAACATTTTGATGTATATTCCATTAGAATTTTTTTCTCTGCATGCAGATACACATACATACAATTTACTGAAAAACTTAATTTTTCAAGGTGAAAAGTGGGTTTCTTTTTTCCTTTGTTTGTACTGCTAGTGCCTACTTTAAACTTTATTTCCTAATGCCTGGACTATTAAAATTTTCTCTTAAAAAAACCTAACTTTTAATGTATCCTATTGTTTCCTCCTTTTAGTGCCACCTGCCACCAGATTAATCTTTCTAAATGTTTCTTAAACTCTGTTTTTTTCCCCTAAAATCTTTAGTGTCGCACTCTTCTTAAAAAATCTTTGGTGTCTCACATCCCATTTTTTATATCCTTTAATTACTCAGTTTAGTGTTCAAAATATGCTTCATGCCCCAATTCCCCATATCTTAGTTCATGCCCATTTTCCTCTGATTTTTTTCTTTGTTTATCTTAAGGTCTAGTCCAGTTTATGTAGCAAGCTCCATACACGATGGCAACAAATCTGGAGGAAGAGAATTGTTACTATGAATTGGATTTGTGGAGAAAAATCTGTTCTAGCAGAGTATTAACAGATAACTGCAGGGATACAAATAAGTATTAGAATGCTTGTCAGTTCTACTCAGTAAAGTGAAACAGATACAGATACTTCACTTATGTAAAATTATTCATTGCATTTCTTTGACTCCTGGTGAATTCTGGTTCATGCCATTGCCATCTTTGATTCACTGAAATATTCTTGTTAAGATTCTAAACTTCCTGAGGTTTCCAGATCACCAGGCTATGTTTATGTCCTGTTGTTCTAATTTCTTGTTTAATGTCTTAGTTTGCTGTCTACCTTTGTATTGGCTTTATTTTTTTTCCCTCTGAGTCCCTCCTATGTATAACTTGTTGATTTTAATACCATACTTTGGGGAGGTGGGTATAGCTTAGTGGTAGAGCACATGCTTAGCATGCATGAGGTTCTGGGTTCAATGCCCAGTACTTCCATTAAAGTAAATAATAATATCAGAATAATAATACTATAGTTTGAATTCCCTTTTTAAAGATTTGTGCTCCCCCATATGTAAATATAATTTAGATAATTTGCATATGGTACATTTCCTCCTTTTAGTGTACAATTCACGAGTCAGGCAATCGTCACCATCATCTCATTTCAGAACATCTGTATCACCCCAGAAAGAAACCCCTCATACTTAGCAATCACTCCCATTCATTCCTTTCTTTTCTTAGCCCATGGCAACCACTAATCTACTTCCATCTCTATGGATTTGCTGATTCTGGACATTTCGCTTTACTCCTTTAAAAAAAAGTATATAGACTGCTTTCATAAAACTTAATAATCTCATTTTAAGTAGAAAGCTGTCTGTTTACATCTAGTGGCTTTTTTGCATGGGTAGCTTTTAATGAGAGTTTGTTGAAGGATTGGTTTTCAGAAGTGGATGTGAATTAATGCATAGGAGAGGAGAAGATATTTTAAGTAGAGGAGAAAACATAAACAAGAGGCGATGAAGTTGAGGTAAGCAAAAAAAGTTAGTTTGAGACTTAGTTACTTTTTGGATCTACCTTGCTTTAGAAAGAAACAAGTAATTCATGTGATTTGTTTTCTCTCCATCCAGTCTGTGGCTCCAGCAGCCTTGTTTCTGGCAGCCAAAGTAGAGGAGCAGCCCAAAAAGTTGGAGCATGTCATCAAGGTAGCACATACTTGTCTCCATCCACAGGAATCACTTCCTGATACTAGGAGTGAGGTAGGGGATTGATTAATTACACATATCTGTTTTTCTTAATTTATTTTGATCATAACTTAGTTTTGTAACTTAGATTTATTGAAGTCTGCTGAATGGGGGTTGTCAAGGGAACTTTTAGTGTTTGTTCTCTCCTTAACAAAAGCATCATAGAAATTTTATGGCAAAAGTTAATTGTATTCATTCTCGTAAAACTGGAAAATGCAGGAAAAGAAGAAAATACTTCACCCAGATGTAATTTGGACTACGCATATAGGAGTAAACCATTATTTTCAGCTTCTTTTCTATGAGTAGCTATACATGTATATATTTCATATCTGCTTTTTTCACTTACTATATGCCAAATATTTTCCCATCAATTCTCCACTTTCTTTATATATTTAGATAGTATTTCTACATATACATATATATATTTTAATAATTTTCTATTAAGATAATCCAGCTTTTCACCCCTATAATACTATTATGAAGAACATTCTTTTAGATAAATTTTTGTTAATGGATTTTTTAAAAAAAATCCTGTCACTGGTTTTTTTTTTAAACTTTTTAAGAAGTTACAAGTTATATATACTCATTATAAAAGAACCCAAACACTTAAGAGTCATTTAAAGTAAAAGTTAAAACTCATCTCTCCTCCTTGGAAGATACTACTTCTACAGTGTAGGTATGTACATTCTTCAAAACCTTTATCCTGTGTGTGTACATACAGCTTTTTTCCCCCTTTCCATCCTTGAAGGAAAACTCCTGGCTTTAGAAGTCAGTGATTAGGGAGTGATGAGTTTGGAGAAAAATTATTTCTGTTACTGGATTATTTGTCTCTTACAATGGATGCATGAGTCATCCTTTATCCAACAGATACCTGGAATTGTGTATTCTTCTGATCATATTGGAGAAGGTGGTTTTTTTGGGGGGAGAAGGGGTTATTTTTTGATGTAATACCCCCTAATTCTCTTTGGGCTGTATCAGTAGTTGAAAAGAGTTGTTGATCTGGACTTTCATTTACGTTTGAGACTACTAAATGCCATTGGTTCATAGAACTGACCAAATAACAAAATTTTATTTTAACAAAACAAAAAATAAAATCCCCACTTTTTTTTCTTCTTTCAAGTATATTTACATGACTTCTCACTTGAGTTTCTCTTATGAGGTGATTAGAAGATGCTTTCTTCACTATATGGAAAGGAGAGCTAGCACAGTTTAAGTCCTTATTGGACTTATTCAAGATCATAAAATTCAGTGGAAAGTTAACGGCAACATAATAAGTCTGTTAACTCCTTGCTCAAGTCTCATTCTCCTAGAGTTCTAGACCAGTGCTGTCCAGTAGAAATATAAGGGAAGTCACATATGTAATTAACATTTTTAACTTTTCATTAAGCTTTATTTAAAATCCTTATTTTAAGAAATTGAAATTAATTTTAATAATGTTTTATATTGTAATCACAGTATATTTCCTTTAACCCCCAAATATTGTCATTTCAGTTTATAATCAATTTTAAAACGTTACTGAGATGGTTTACATTATTTTTTTAACTAAGTCCTCAAAATTTAATGTGTATTCTATACTCATAGCACATTGCAATTTAGACTAGCTGCATTTCAGGTGCTCAATAGCCGTGTGTGGATACTGGCTACAGTATTGGCTGGTATAAATCTGAAAGATTTTTGTTTGTTTGTTCTCTGTTCATTTGAACTCTTTTATGAATTTTAAAAATCTAGGATTACCCCAAAGGTAAGGTTTAACAGGAGTCAAATGTTTGAGATTGCCTACAGTACTGTAGGAAGGCTCCACAATGTATTTTGATAATGTTGGAAAAAGATATATTTTAAATTTTCTTATGTTTATATCACATGAAATTTAAAACCTAAAATGTCAATCTGAAAATGAATCAGATCTCTGGTGCTTTTTCTGTAGCCATTTATGAATAAAGTGTCATCTCAGTATATCTTTTTTTTTTTAAGGAATATCTGTAATGAAGAAGGATAGGATTAATTTCAATTCCTACTCTCCCTTATAACTCCATCCTTGCCTTTTGAGGCTTTGGTTTCCCTGGGAGGTTGTTAGAATTATTTACACCTTATATATTATATATTGTGTCTTTTTGGGAAATAATTTGTGTCTTCTCACCTGCAGACTTATCTACAACAAGTTCAAGATCTGGTGATATTAGAAAGCATAATTCTGCAGACGTTAGGTAAGTTTATTTTTCTTTAAAACATTAAAAAATATGTATGTGATACAGTGATTTTTAAATTTATGAAATAGGAAGAGAATCTCTTGGGAAGATTATTGCACATTTAGAGGTAGAGCTCAGAGTTTAACCTGGTCTATATAAAAGAACGTAGGCACAGCTCACCTTTGAAATAGCAGTTAGCAGGTTTTTTTTTTTAATTTATTTATTTTAATTAATTTATTTTTTTGTTCTAGGATTCATGATTTGCTTTTTAAGATTTGGCAAAATAATGGCAGAAGCTACCTAAAGAACTTTTGTCTTCCATGAATTTTTTTAGTCTGTCATTGTATTTAGATAACAGCGTTTGTTTTTAAAACTGGTAATCAGTGTTCAGAACAGCAGGAATTCAGGCTATAGCGGTTGATGGGCAACCCTGAGGATGTTCTGTTATTATCTATTATTTATTTTCATCCAAGAGACTGCCTTTAAAAACTTAGAAAATATGGAAAATAAAGATTTTCATGTTCTTTTGGGCTATCATTTTTCTTTTTAGGGAGGGGAGGGTTTCATGAGTTGTGTTGGAAAGTTACTGGTAGGGCTGTATTTTTTTGCATATACACACATTTCATGCAATGAAATCTTCAAAGTTTATCTCTGAAGTTAGTTTCTGCTAATTTTTACTTTAATTGTCTTCAAGATAACTATATTTTAGGGGACTGATTTTTCTGGTGAAATAATTTTTTATTAATATTTTAATGTGGAAACCAATAAGATCTAATTTGCAAGAATCAGTTATACTTTTAGAATAATTTACATCATGTAAATATCACAGTAGAATTTATCTTGTACCTAGAAAATTTTATTTACAAACACAAAAAGAAACTTCATCAAAAAATTTTATGGACATACTGACCTTCCTTAAGTAACATTAGAGTTGGATAAAATGATCAGTACTAATTAATTAAGATGGTGAAAAGGAACAAAACTGAAGTAATAGAGGAATGGGTTTTAAAATGTTTTCTCAAGGTTAAGCTTTTGAAGATAATGATCACTTGAGTGACTGCTTCTTCTAACTGTATATTCTTTTGTCCCTAAAAAAATGTTTTGTGTTCAGAGTTTATTGGTAGCTCAGGGATCTTGAGACTGCATTAGCTCTACTGTCTGTGTGGTACATTTTAGCTCAAAATGTAAGCACCTTTGGAGACAATGTATCTTAGAGAAGAGCTTGCTGCATACTTTGTGTGACTCTCTTAGCCTCTGAACAGGCAGTTTTGGGACCAGAAAATGAGAGACCCTTAATGATGACTCAGTTAAAAGAGTTATACCTCTTTTAATAGTAATAAAATAGTTTGAGTAGCTTTAGCTTTTAACCAGGTACTTTTTTTTTAGGCTTTGAACTAACAATTGATCACCCACATACACATGTGGTAAAGTGCACTCAGCTTGTTCGAGGTAAGGAATCCCAACTTGAGACGGCTGTCTTAAATTGTTTTTACCATTTAGTGGCTAAGATTTGCTGTGGACAAGTACATAACACAGCTGCTTTGGTCAAAAGTTAAATTAAAAAACCTACCTGTCTTAAACCAAAATGAGTGGTTGTGGCTTTTCTTTTGGATTCTTAGAATGTTTTTAGATGATCTCTAGATAAAGAGAGTTAGCTTCTTGAGGATGTTTGTCAAAGCTGGGGGCAGATTTTGAAAAGTCAACAAATCATAAGTACCTAACAGCAGTTTTAAGGATATCTTGGGAGTAGGTGATCTTAATTTGATTATAGGATTGATTGTCTTAGAGCCTCTTAAAGGCCAACCGAGGATGAACTAGAATTTATTGAACTTATTTTCATCATTGTTAATCCCTTGGCAGGACTTGCTCTTTATTCTGATTTATCTTTAGTAGCTATAATTGCATGAAACCTATTTATTTAAATAATAGTATCAAGGATATCTATAGATATCATCATGCATTTAAGTGCCATTTTTAGTTTTGTAGACTAAATTGATAATAGGCGTCATTGTATGTTTCATCTGAAAACTCCCAAAGTTTTCCCCAAGTTCTTTGTATTTTGAAAGCATTAAAAGATTTACATTGAGCTAGAATAGAGTTAAACAGAGATGAATAAATGCTGATATTTAATCTAAGGAAGGTTAAAATTAGCTTTGTCAGCCAGAACAGTTTTTTTTTTTTAAGGAAGATTATATTTTTTTAAATTGTTACAGTTAAATGATTTGTTATTTGATAATTTCCCCCAAATATATCAAGGTCTTTTGGATTCTGATCTTGCCTTCAAATCAGTTCATCCCCTAGGTGAGAATTTCTCAGTGAACCCTTGCATCAGTATCCCTCGGTTACTTGTTTAAAATGCTTATTACATCCTTCTCCAGATGTGTTGAGTCAAACTCTAGGGAGAATGCCCAGGAATTACATTTTAAACATGTACTCCTGATACCTGGTGTGCAGAATAAAGCTTGAGTCCCTAAGCCTGGAAGCATAATTATTAATATTATAATTAAAAGTTGCTCAATCTGTCTTCTTTGGTAGTAGAATGTAACTGTCTCGTGGTCAGGCACTATGTCGGCTTCATCCACCACTATAGTTCTCTGACTTGCAAATATTAAATAATTACTAAATAATTCTTGAGAATGAATGGAACTAATAACCCCCCCCCTTTTTTTTTAGCAAGCAAGGACTTAGCACAGACTTCTTACTTCATGGCAACCAACAGGTTTATATTTTAATATTTTTCTCTTCTATTTTTGGGGTAGAACTTTAATTGGGTTGGAATTGTCACTTTTAGGGGCATATGGAAAGGTGACAGGTCTGATACTTAGTAAACTAGAGGCCAAAGACCCAGGCAAGGATCTTTGGTACAATATGTTATAGACAATTTTCTGGTAAACGTTGACTTTTCTGCACAGTTTTCATGCTGTACTGTAAAATTTCCATGCTGCTTTTTAAACTTGCTAAGGTGATATTTATTGCTGATTGTTTGATAGCCTACTTAATTCTGCATTTGTTACTTTGCTTTAAAATATTCAAAAGCATAGTTCTGAAAGTTTGTTTAAACTTGGGATTTGACTGACTAAAAATCTAATTCGGAGGATTCTGCTGTAATTAATGGTATTTTGAAAGGCTCCTTTTTCTTCACCCTCTTCCGGATAAATGGGCACATATATGTGAAAAGAGTTGTAATACTTTTTCATCCTCCTTCCCTTTTTAAAGAAAAAAATTAATATGTAACTTGTATTACCAAATTTCTTATTCATTCTCATCTCCAATCTATTGGTTGTTTGTGGAAACCAAAAACTTCTAATGACTGTCAAGGCTAAGAAGTTCATTTTTACAGCCTGATGGGAGAAATTTTTAAAATAAACTATCAAGCATATTCACACTTGAGAGAGTGATTGTCTGTTCATTATTTTAAATAGACCAGAGTTATGATTTGCAACAGACAAGATAAGTTTAAGGGTATTTCCATAAGTATTTGATTTAGGAATTATACATATCAAAAATTTTACAATTTTTCTTGTTTTGAGCTTATTCTCAGGATATTGATCCTTATTTTAAAAAACTGAGTACCCAATCTTTTATTTTTGTTTTTATTTTTTTCAATCCTTCATCAGTGTGTAAATTAAATGATCATGTAGTCAGAAAAATTAGAAAAGTTGTTGCCTGAGCCAGGTGGGTTAATGGAAAAATCATGTTAAGTGCTGGTTCAGAGCACTGAATATTTCTTACCCTTCTTGCTCTCCAGTGATTTTTTTTTAACTTTTTTTTTTTAATTAATGGAGAGTTTAAAGTTTGGGTTCAGAACTGAGAGCTCATGACACTCTCTTGTTTCCTTCCCTCTGGTGTCAGCCTGCATTTGACCACATTTAGCCTGCAGTACACACCTCCTGTGGTGGCCTGTGTCTGCATTCATCTGGCTTGCAAGTGGTCCAACTGGGAGATCCCAGTCTCAACTGATGGGAAGCACTGGTGGGAGTATGTTGACGCCACTGTGACCTTGGAACTTTTAGATGGTAAGTTTTAGAGTAAGGGACCTTGAAAAGCACTTGCTCTTGGTTGTCCTATATCTGGCCAAAGGTGACTTGATTTCAGATGCAAATAGTTGAGGTTACTCACATTTCATTAGTTCTGCCTCTGTGAGTTTTTCTTAAATGTTCTAATTTTATTTGTAGAACTGACCCATGAATTTCTGCAGATTCTGGAGAAAACCCCCAACAGGCTCAAACGAATTCGGAATTGGAGGGTAAGAATTATTGCTGTCAGCTTGTGGAACAAACCGTTTTCTTCTTTTGACTACACCAGTGAATATACCGGAATTGGATATGTACCGTAGGTTTGGAATTTCCCTTTTTATAGTTGTGCAATAGTCACGACTTCAACTTCATAGTTTGGATACTGACCCAGAAGTCAGTGGTTGTAGGCGGCAGCAAGATTTATTTTGTGTCTTGCAACTCTTGTGATATAGTCATTTGGTCAGTAACATTGGTTGAGTATTATTTGTGTGGAGACTGTTAAAGGGAAAAATGGCTTTTCTGAGTCACAGGGTGTTGTCTTCTGGTAGAGGAAAGATACAGACTTAAGAGTTTAGCGCTGTTATCATAATTTTGTCTTTGATATTACCTGCTTTTAAATGGATTTTAGAATTTTGTTTTTATATAGATTACAGCCTTAAGTATTTCAGATATTTTTCAAAAGTCTTACGAATAATGGAATTGTTCCCTTTTTTTCCAGTGTCAAAAAGTTTAAAAATGTTCCTTGCATTTCTCAGAAATCTAGACTGATAAGCTTAATTTCATTCTCCTGAGTTGGGTGAGTTGCAGAAAATGAGTTTGCTTAGGGTTCAAAGGAGACTTGAGAGCATCCAGGTCATCTTTTACTTTCATAAAAAACCTCACCAAAATTTTGGACTAACTGCAATTGTAAGTGGTAATAAGAAGGCAGAGATGTTTATGAATGATATATACAACTTCTTTTTTTTTATTGCCTTGTAACACTGGTATAGGTATGGTCACTTTCTTTATTTGGATGATAGAACACTTGAACAAAATTTTAAGTATACGGTACTACATTTGATCTTAGCCAAAAAGCCGAGAAGTGATTAAGTATATGATATGATATTTTTAACTATAGGTACTATGTACTATGCTGTACAGAAGAGCTCTAGGATATATTCATCTTGTGTAACTAAAACTTTCTACCCTTTGACTAATAGTCTTTGTTTCCCCCATCCCTCAGTCTCTGGCAACCACGTTCTACTCTCTGCCTCTACGAGTTTGACTGTTTTAGATTCCTCATATAAGTGAGATCATGCAGTATTTGTCTTTCTGTGTCTGGCTTATTTCACTTATTAAAAGGTCTCCCAGTTTTGTCTATGTTGTTGCAAATGGCAGGATTTCTCCCTTTTTTTATTTTAAATTGTGGTAAAATAAAAATAACATAAAATTTACCATCTTAGCCATTTTAATGTATTACATACATTCATACTGTCGTGCAACCATTATTACCATCTATTCCCATAACTTTTCATCTTATAAAACTGAAACTCTATAATCATTACACAATAACTATCTATTCTTCCTGACCTAAGCCCTTGGCAACCACTAATATACTTTCTGTCTTTATGATTTAGACTACTCTAAGTACTTCATATAAGTGAATCATATATTATTTGTCTTTTTATGACTGACTGATTTCAGTTAGCATAATGTCCTCAAGGGTCATCTGTGTTATAGCATATTATAGAATTTTGTACCTCTTTAAGGCTGAATAGTACTCCGTTGTGTGTATGTACTACATTTTGTTTATCCATTCTTCCATCAATAAATACTTGGTTTGCTTCTGCATTTTAGAATTGTGAATAATGCTCCTATGAATATTGGTGTACACATATCTCTTTGAGACACTGTTTTCTATTGTTCTGGGTGTATGCCCAGAAGTGGAATGGGCAGGTCATATGTTAGTTCTGTTTTTAATTTGTTGAGGAACCACTGCATTGTTTTCTGTAGTGGCTATACCGTTTTACATTTCTACCAAACAGTGCACAAGTGTTAGTTTCTTTGTATCCTTTCTAACACTTGCTGCTTTGTTTTTTTGGGAGTAGCCATCTTAAGGTATGTGAGGTGGTATCTCATAGTTTTGATATGCATTTCCTTAATGGTTAATGATGTTAAGCATTTTTCATGTTCTTATTGGCCATTTGTGTATCTTCTTTGGAGAAATGTCTGTTCTAATGCTTTGCTCATTTTTGAATTGGGTTTTTTGTTGTTGAGTTTTAGGAGTTCTCTATACATTCTGGCTTTTAATCCCTTAGCAGGTATATAATTTACAATTATCTTCTCCCATTATATGGGTTGCCTTTTACTCTAGAGAGTGTCTTTTGATGCACAAAATTTAAAAATTTTTATGAAGTCCATTTCTTCTTTCTTCCCTTTCCCTCTCTCTCTTTTTCTTCTGGTTACCTGTTCCTTTGGTCTAATATCTAAAAAGTCATTGCTAAATCCAATGTTGTAAAGCCTTTTGTCCTGTGTCTCTTATAAGAGTTTTATTGTTTTAGATCTCAAATGTAGGTCTTTTATCCTTGTTGAGTTAATTTTTTGTTTATGGTGTTAGGTAAGGGTCCAGCCTCATTCTTTTGCATGTGGATATGCAGTTTTCGTAGCATCATTTGTTGAATGGTCTTGGCATCCTTGTCAAAAGTCATTTGACCATATATGAGAGGGTTTATTTCTGAGTTTTCTATACTGTTCTATTCATCTATATGTCTGTCTTGTTGTCAATACCACACTGTATTGATTACTGTGGCTTTGTAGTAAGTTTTGGAATTAGGAAGTATGAGTCTTCCAGTTTCGCTCTTCATTTTCAGGATTGTTTTCACTATTTGCTGCCCTTTGAGATTCCATATGAATTCTAGGATGGGTTTTTCTATTTGTGCAAAAAAGGTCATTGGGATTTTGACAGGGATTACATTGAATCTATAGATTGCTTTGGGTATTCATATTTTAACAATGTTAATGTTTGAATTAATGTTTGGATCCAGAACATGGGATGAGTTTCCAATTATGTTTTACTTAATTTTTTTCAGAAGTGTTTTTAGTTTTCTTGTACAAATCTTTCACTTCCTTGATTAAGTTAATTCCTAGATATTTTAAAAATTTTGATGCTATTGTATATGCAATTGTATTCGCAGTTTCCATTTCGGATTGTTTATTGTTTGTGTGGAGAAGTGCAACTGAATTTTATTTATTGACTTTGTATCTTGTTGCTTTGCCGAATTCATTTGTTAATTCTAATAAAATTAGAAAAAATAAATTTTGGTGGAATTTTTAGTTTTCTACATATAAGCTCATATCATCTGCAAACAGATAATTTTACTTCTTTTCCAATTTGGATGGCTTTTTTATTCCTTGCCTGATTGCTGTACTGTATTGAATAGAAGTGGTGAAAGTTGCCATCCTTTCCTTATTTCTGATCTTAAAGAAAGCTTTTCAGTCTTTCACCATTGAATATGATGTTCACAGTGGGTTTTTTACATATGGCTTTTATTATGTTGAGGTAGTTTCTTTACATTCCTAGTTAGTTGAGTGTTTTTATCAGAAAGTGAATTTTGTCAAGTGCTTTTTCTGCATAAATTGAGATGATCATGGGATTTCTTCTCCTTCATTTTGTTTATATGGCATATTACATCAATTTCCATATGTGGAATCATCCTTGAGGAATAAATCCCACTTGGTCATGATACATAATTTTTTTTAATCTGCTGCTGAATTCATTTTGCTAGTATTTTGTTGAGGATTTTTGCATCAGTGGTCATAAGAGATACTGGTTTGTAGTTTTCCTTTCCTTGGGGTATTTTTGTCTGGCTTTGGTGTCAGGGTAATGCTGGCCTCATAGAAAAGAGTTGAGAAGTGTTCCTCTTAAAATTTTTGGGAAGTCTGAAAATAGTTGGTATTCACTTCTTTAAATGATTGATAGGATAACTAGTGATGGGCCTTAGAAATTTTTGATTATTGAGTCAATTTAATTACCAGTTATAGGTCTATTCAGATTTTCTCCTCATGATTTAGTTTTGGTAAGTTTTAGGTTTCTGGGAATTTGTTTTGTTTGGGTTATTCAACTTGTAGGTGTACAGTCTTCTTAGAATGGTAGCAATGTCTCCACTTTCATTTCTGATTTTAGTAGTTTGAGCTTTTCCTCTTTTTCTCTTAGTCCATCTAGCTAAAGGTTTGTCAGTTGTGTTGATCTTGTCAAAGAGCCAATTTCTGTTTTAACTGATTTTCTCTATTTTTCTATTTTCTGTTTTATCTCTGTTCTAATCTTTATTATATTTTTCTTTCTGATAAACTTTGGGTTTAGTGCTTACTTTTCCAGTTCCTCAAGGTATAAAGTTAGTTATTTTGAAGTGTTTCTTGTTTTTTTAACGTAGTGTTTATAGCTATAAATTTCTCCCTTAGCACCACTTTTGCTGCGTCCCTTAAGCTTTGATATATCGTCTTTTCGTTTTCCTTTGTCTCTTCATTATTTTCTCATTTCCCCTTTTGATTTCTTTGATCCATTGGTTTTATTTCCACAATTTTGTGATTTTTTCCCCCAATTTTCTTTCTGTTACGGATTTCTAACTTTATCACATGGTGTTTAGAAAAGACACTTTGTATGATATATATCTTTTAAAATCTGTTGACTAAGTTTGCTGCCTAACATATGGTCTATTATGGAAAATGTCCCATACGCATTTGAAAAGAACGTGTGCGCTGCTGTTTTTAGGTAGAGTGTTCTGTATATCTCTGTTAGATCTAGTTTATTTATTTGTTTAAGTCCTCTATTTCCTTATCTTCTGTCTGGTCTACCTATTATTATGAGCAGGGTTTTGAGGTCTCCAACTATTACTGTCTATTTCTCTTTAATTCTGTTAGGTTTTGGCTTCAGCTTCATATATCTTAATGGCCTGTCATTACATGTGTGAATGTTTATAATTGTTATGTCTTACTTCTGTCACTAGCCTTTTAGAATACATAATGTCCTTCATCTCTTGAAAGCTTTTTTGATTTAAAGTCTATTTTGTCTGCTATTAGTGTAGTCATACCTTTCTTTTTGTTACTGTTTGCATGATATATCTTTTCCCATCTTTTCACTTGCAACCTGTTTGGGTCTTTGGATCTCAGTTGCTTTTACACAGCATATAGTTTATCATATATTTTTATCCATTCTACTAATCTCTGTCTTTTCATTAAGAATTCAGTCCATTTATACATAAAGTGATTACAGGTAAGGAAGGACTTCTGTCATTATACTGTTTGTTTTTATATAGGCATACACTTTTTTATTGCACTTTGCAGATACTGCATTTTTTATAATGAAAATTATTGGCAACCCTGTGTCGAGCAAGTCTATTGGTGCCATTTTTTCAACAGTATTTGCTCACTTCATGTCTGTCACATTTTGGTAATTGCAGCATTTCAAACTTTTTCATTATTATTATATTTGTTATGGTGATCTGTGATCAGTAATCTTTAATATTCCTACTACAGCTCACTAAAGGCTCAAATGATGGTTAGCATTTTTTAGCAGTAAGGTATTTTAAATTAAGGTCTGTACATTTTTTTACACGTATTGCTATTGCATGTTTAATAGACTACAGTATAGTATAAACATAATTTTTATATGCACTGGGAAACCAAAAAGTGTGTGTGACTCACTTTATTGAGATACTTGGTTTATCGAGATGGTCTAAAACTGAACCCGCATTATCTCCAAGGTATGTCTGTATGCCTTTTGTAGCTTTTTGTCCCTCATTTCCTGCATTCTTGTCTTCTTTTGTGTTTAGTTGATTTTTCATAATGTAAATTTAAAAGTTCCTTTCTCATTTCCTTTTTTGTATTCTGGGCTATTTTCTTTGTGTTTACCATGGGGATTCCATTTAACATCCAAAAGTTATAATACCCTAATTTGAAATTTATATTAGTTTAACTTCAGTAACATACAAAACTCTCTCCTTTATAGTTGCATCCTCACCCCTTTTGGTTGTTGATGTTACAAAATTAAATCTTTACACATTGTGTGCCCTAAAACATGAACTAATAATTCTTCTAGATGAATTAGGCTCTTATAATAGATAAAAAGTAAGATTTGGAATTGTAAACCAAAAATTTTTTTAGAGTAATACTAGGTTTTACACTGATTTTTTTTCCTTAGAATGTGTTAGTCTCCTTAATCATGTAGAAACCAAAAAGTGCAATTACAAATCATTGTTACAGTTCTAGCTTTTATAATTGCTCATGTATTTACTTCTATTGAGATCTTTATTTCTCCATGTGGCTTGAAGTTAGTCTTGGAGGAGTCCCTTGAGCCTTCCTTATATGGCTGGTCTAATGGTCATTAACTCCCTCAGTTTTTGTTTAACTGGAAATATCTTAATTTCTTACTCACTTTTTTGAAGGACATTCTTGCTGGATATAGGATTCTTGGCTGATGGTTTTTTTCCTTTTAGTACTTAGAATGTATCAGTTCACTGTCTTCTGGCCTGTAGTGCATTTTTCATTAGTTATTCTATTTTTCAACTCCAGGATTTCTTTCTGGTTTCTTTTTAGGTTTTCTGTCTCTTTATTGATATTTCCAATTTGTTCACGTATTGTTTTCTTGACTTCTCTGTATCTTCCTTTAGTTCTTTGAGTATGTCTTTAAGGGAGTTATTTTTAGCATCTTTGTCTAGTATATCTGCCATTGTATCTTTTTCAGTAACAGTTTCTGTTGATTGTTTTTCCCCCTTTGAATGAGCTATATACTTTCCTGTTTCTTTACATGCCTGTGATTTTTGTTGTTGTTGAAGACTGGACATTTGAATCTAATAACATGGTAATTCTAAAAATCAGATTCTCTCCCTTCCCTGGGGTTTGCTGTTATTTTTGTTTCTGTATATCTGGGGTGGAGGGTTGATTTTTGAAGGATGTCTCTGTGCTGAGGATCAGCTTGATGTGTAAACTTAAGGTCTTCTCAGTTCTTTTCTGAGCCTTTCCCTGACATACCTGCAGTTGTTTTTGAATATCCTACTCTAATATCTGGCTCCCAAAGGGAGAAAAAGCAAAAAATGAAGTGCGGGAGGAAGGGTGTTGGCCCTTTGTATCCTGTAAGTCACTTCAGCCAAAGGGGAGGGGCATGCAGCAGTGGAGGGAGGTGCAACAACAATGGCTGCTGGCCTCTTTGTACCTCCGTGATCAAAAGCGGCAGTCAGCAATCAGAGCACAGTTCTCCAGTATCTGGAAAATGGAGTCCTTTTTGTCCAACCTGGGTCCCTCAAGCTGTGTGCAAGCTACTTTAGGAGCAGATGCATAGCTTGCTCGGGCTGAGAGCTGAAATTGAGGGAAATTAACCCCAATTTACTGTGCAAAGCTTACCCTGGATATTGCACGCCTTCAACAGACTCCCGAATTCCAAAACAGTTATATCAGACAGATTCTGCCTGTGCAATTACTGTCTAGGTAGGAGACGGATTCCTGGTGCTCCCCACTCTGCTGTCTTCACAGAATCTTCTTCTTTTTTAAGGCAGAATAATAGTTAATTGCACGTACAGATCATATTTTAAAAATGCATTGACTTGTTGATGGACACTTGGGTTGCTTTCATACCTTGGATATGGTGAATAGTGCTGTAGTGAACATGGGAATTCAGAGACCTCTTTGAGATCCTGTTAATGTGATGCTTGATTGAAGGTTTAAAAAATTGTCTCCTGATGGTAATAATTAGCAGTCTCGTGTTAGAGTAGCCTTCTGGGTATGGGCTGTCCAAAACTTCCAGTGTCACAGCAAGCACAGTCAAACATTTCAGTGTTTTGTTTCCATTTGATAAATTACCTGAAGTGAGAAAGTGTCATTTGCTTCATTCTAGGCATGCCAAGCTGCCATGAAAACAAAAGCAGATGACCGAGGGACAGATGAGAACACTTCAGAGCAGACAATCCTCAATATGATTTCCCAGAGCTCTTCAGACACAACTATTGCAGGTTTAATGAGCATGTCAGCTTCTTCTACCACAAGTGCAGTGCCTTCCCTTCCAGCCACTGGAGAGTCAACCAGCAACTTAAGCAGCGTGGAGATGTTGCCCGGTGAGCGCTGGCTGTCCTCCCACCCTCCTTTTAAAGTAGAACCAGCTCAGGGTCATCGGACTAGTGAGAATTTAGCACTTATAGGAGTTGATCATTCCTTGCAACAGGACAGTTCCAATACATTTATTTCCCAGAAGCAGAACAGTAAGAGTGTGCCATCAGCTAAAGTATCACTGAAAGAATACCGTGCAAAGCATGCGGAAGAGTTGGCTGCCCAGAAGAGGCAACTGGAGAATATGGAGGCCAATGTGAAGTCACAGTATGCATATGCTGCCCAGAATCTCCTGTCTCACCATGATAGCCATTCTTCAGTCATTCTGAAAATGCCGATGGAGGGCTCAGAAAACCCTGAGAGGCCTTTTCTGGAGAAGTCTGACAAAACAGCTTTCAAAATGAGAATCCCAGTGACAAGTGGAGAGAAACCTGCCTCTTCAAAACCTGAGGAGATAAAAATGCGCATTAAAGTTCATGCTGCACCCGACAAGCACAATTCTGTGGATGACAGCGTCACAAAGGGCCGGGAGCACAAAGAAAAGCACAAGACTCACCCGTCTAACCATCATCATCATCATAATCACCACTCGCACAAGCACTCTCACTCACAGCTTCCCGCTGGTACTGGGAACAAGCGTCCGAGTGATCCAAAACATAGTAGCCAGACAAGCACCTTAGCACACAAACCCTATAGCTTGTCTAGCTCTTTCTCCTCTTCCAGCTCTTCTCGCAAAAGGCCCCTCCCTGAAGAGACTGGAGGGGCGGTGTTTGAGCATTCAGCCAAGACTGCCAAGAGTACTAAATCCTCTTCCATGAATTTCTCCTTCCCTCCTCTTCCTGCAATGGCCCAGTTGCCTGGGCATAGCTCAGACACAAGTGGCCTTCCCTTTTCACAGCCCAGCTGTAAAACTCGAGTTCCTCATGTGAAATTGGATAAAGGCTCCACTGGAGCCAATGGTCACAATGCAACCCAGACCATAGACTATCAAGACACTGTGAATATGCTTCACTCCCTTCTCAGTGCCCAGGGCGTTCAGCCCACTCAGCCCCCTGCGTTTGAATTTGTTCATTCTTACAGTGAATATCTGAATCCACGGGCTGGTGGAATGTCCTCCAGACCTGGCAATACAGACAAACCCCGGCTGCCACCTCTACCATCAGAACCTCCTCCACCACTTCCACCCCTTCCTAAGTAAAAAAGAGAAAGAAGAGGAGGAAAAAAATCTTTAAAAACACATCTTTTTAAAAAACAAAACAAAACAACACAAAAAAACCCACAAACTACTGATTCTGGACTAAGAAAATTGTTTCCCTTATGAAATATGTCACCCTTCTTGGACTAGGGAATAAATTAATATTGAGACATAGGTGGGAGGGTGGTAGACGGCCTTGGTTATTATATCTCCTGCCTCAGAAATTTAACTATTTTATTATAGCTTTTACTGGTATTAGAGAGGTGAGAATGTGTTAAAGCTGTGAAGGATTAAGAATACTTTTTCTGTTCTTGGCCTCTCCACCTCTTAATTAGATTGATTAGAGTTGATATCTTCCCTCTTCTTGCCAGGACTGAAATATGGAGGGTTTATCAAACAGTTGTGGATCCTTGTAGTGTTTAATATATCAGAAGAGAGGAAGTATTTAAACGTCAAAATCTTTTTAAGAGACTTTAAAAAAATAATTTAAAGAAAGTAAGTTATCTGTTTAGTTTTTTATATAATTGGGGAGGGGATAGGGATTTTGCTGTGTGTATGAGATACATAGCAATGAGTCCTGGGGGGGGGAGTGGAGGGGGTGGTTTGCATAGGGGGGATGGGAGGATAGACTTGGCCATGAGTTGAGATAGGCTCCGGCCACTTGAAGTGTTGCGACCTTTAAGTGTGTATGTAAGTGTGGGTATGTGTGTTTTTCAGTGTGTGTGTTTAAAAATCATGTTGTATCTTTCCCTCCCTGTCCTTCACCATTTTCGCTTCCCAACAGTCTACTAGAGAGAGCACGGTGTGGCCTTTAGAACATAAAGGAAAGAAGAGGCATGTATTTGACGTGGTATTTTCCCTTTTCTTTATGTGATAATTGAGGGTAGCCTTCTAAATTCTAGTTTGGGCAGATGGAGCCAGTGCCCTGATTCTGGACTCCATAGGAGAAGTTCCTTTTTACCCCTTTTTCCTTTTGGTGTAGAACAAAGGTGGGGGTGAGGAAGAAGGTTGGGGAGCTAGGCTGGCTTCTGCCCTACAGAATTGGGTGTGTCTTTTTTCATGTTGGGCTTTGGGAAAGTGTTCAAGTGAGAGCAGTCTCAGGGTCTCTGAAGGGAAGGGGGATGTGCTGTCCTGCCTATGAAAGCCCAGACAATGTATGAGAGTAGTTCTGGGAGAAGCCATGGCACTAGAGGATACTGAAAACAATGGAATTGTGATTGGGAATTTTTAGGACATTATGAATGTACGACTTGCTTTTTATCTGTATATCTGAAGGGAAACAGCTGCATCCTCATTTTTTGCAGCCTATATGACTTCAGAGATTGGAGCTTATGAATTTAACAGCACTGGTGCTGTGAGCGTGAGTAAGCCTAGCCTGCAGATGCTGTTTAGCTTGTCCATCTTTGGTGGCTTTAGCCTCTAGGCAGAAGTTCTTCAGGAGATTTCTAAGAGTCCTTTAGAAAAATGGATCACAGTCCTGTTCTTATGGGTGCTTGATTATCCCATATTTTAGGTGTGAACATTTTGTTGAGGAAAGAAATCTTCCAAGGGGCTAGAAAGAATTCTAAGCCAAGTTGTCCAGCTGAAAATGCCACCTAGCCACAGATCATTTAATGTGGTGGTGTTCGGTCTTCATGGCATCTTTTGCCATGGAGAAGATGACAGTTTGAATTTGTCTTGTTTTTAATGCAGCTTCTTTCACACCAAATATCCTTTATGGATAAATTGAAATTTTTCTGTTGAAAAGTCAGGGAGATGGGAGTTGTACATGTGCTGCTGCTTGCCAGGCGCAGGCTGGGGAGAATACTGGGGCAGATGGAGCTGATGATGCACTGGCCTAATGTAGGAAGGAATTTGTGCAGTAAACCTTACCTGAAGGTGAATTAGCACCCTACAGCTCTGCATATCTGAGCTGTCCAGAGCGCGTACCGTTGCTGTGTAAAATGAGCTCTCAGCTGATCTATAGACCAGTCATACTTTAGACCTGGAATCTCACTTTGCTTTTGTGGATGACATTTTCCTCTTTGTCCTTTATATTTTGTGTTGTGCTAGGTAGTTGGTAGATGCGTAGTTTGTTTACTAAATTTAGGCTTTCTGTTTTGTTTAGATTTTGTTTGGTAGAGTCAGCTTTCCTTCCTGACCTCCCCAAAATGTTATTTAGTTTTCATCTTTATCTTTGTGGAATTGATGATCACTGATCTGATTATGAAAATGTCTTTTACAGCTTTCAGTTTTCCTCATCAAATGTCACATGTTTTCTAATCACATTCACTCCCTCATCACAGAGATACATACCCGCTTGGCCCCAGCAGTTCTCCATGGCAGTCTGTAGTTAGTTCCTTAGAAATTTGTCAGGAGTGACCTTGAAAAAAGTGCTTACTAGAGCCTAAGAGCTGCTTTTTGCTGCGTAGTCTGGCCTTTAGTAGTTCATTGCTGTTACAGGTCATTTTAGAGACTTTTCCAGATTAGCACCTCCTGATACTGCTTTAAGATACCTACTGTGTCTGCTTGTAGATCTACGCATATGTCGTGAACCTCCTTACTGGCTCTGCATGAAGCTGCTGCATTGCCTTTGGGTTAGCAGATGTGCCTGTCAGCTAGCATGCGTATTGTCCAAGTTCCATACACTTAGGCTTCAAAAGGTTGTGTGGTTTCTAAACTCTGTGTCTTCTCTACCTTCACCACTTCAGAGGGTGAGAAATGGGATTTATACGTCCAAAGTTAGTCTAGTAAACGTGGCTCCCCCCCCCTTCTTTTTACCTAGACTATCAAGGATAAGTGGTGGTAAGCAGGCCTGGAGCCTCCAGTTCTGTAAATCTCATTCCTAAAACTGCTTGAATCTCATGTTGACAAAAACAGATACCTGTGAGTTGTCCTTAGGGCTTTTAATCAGATACCTGTGTTGCTGTTAGCTGAACTCTAGTGAAGCATTAATCTAAGGCTAAGCCGGTCTTCTGAAGCATTGGTCATGCTTTGGGGGCTTAGAGGATACGTAGAAATTAGTCTTTTCACTCATGAATCAGTGTGTTTCCATTTCTGAGACCCTCAGCTTCCTCTTTTTTTTTTTAATGATTTTAGTGTTTTGATTTAATGTACCCTTTTGCATAGTCCTATATTATTGGCTTCAACAACATCAATAGAAAAAATTTAAATCTCCATTTGGAAACAGCAATGGATTAGGATATAGAAATAAAATCATGGTGACATCAGTGCTGGATTTACTTAAGCCTCTGCTACCTAATTTCCCATATTGAAAATCCATACTCCTTATACCTTGTTTCCGGACAATTAGAGGGGTCTTATCCCAGTATGGTTGGATTTTAAATACGTGTTTCCCACAGAAACACAAACTGTGGGGACTTGGGAACTGATTGAATTTTAAAAGGATTATTCTTTTGTTGATTTGTTTTGATACTGATGTTAGAAAAGGGATTCTGGAACATTTTGAACTTGGAATACAAATATACTCTTGGGTTTGGGAAAATTTAAGCAGTCTATGCAACCCTTCACATGGTGAGAAATAAGCCCTCTGCAGTTCCACTAAAGTTCCAGTGATTTTGATACCTCCCCAAATTTCTCACGCTGCTGCTTGTTAATACCCAGCTTTTAACTGAATGTTTGCTCCTGATGGTTTAAAAAATACTCATGTTGTATCATACTGTCAAGTTTTATTTTGTTTTTTTTGTCCCTCTGTGAATGTGAGCTCAAGACAAGCGTGGTACTATAATCCTGCCTGATAGCATGGTATGGAATGAGAATTCTTTCTTAATTGGGAGACCCTTCCATTTTAATGTTTCTAAAGTTTTTAGTACAAATTTGGCATTGGAAATGGGACTGGGGGAAAGAATGCTTAGTAAAAAGCATTGTCTACTCTTCCCCCTTTTGAGTGCTTATTCACGGTGAATGAAAAGAAAGGAAAACTTAGGTTTTCTGTTGCCATGTTAAGCATGGCAAGGGATGCTTGACAGCATGCTAATCGAAACCAGAGCAAGTATGTATCTATCAGCTTATCAGGAACTCTTCAGTTGAAAGCTGAGGACTTAACTAGTCAGTGGTTGATCACATTGGGATTGGTTACAAGATGCAAGTGCTGGCTGGGTTAAGCACCCAAAGAAAAGAACGCAGCAGCCTAATTTAGTGTTAACCTAGGTTTCTGGATTTGACACTGACCTTCTCCCCACCCTACTTCACACATTTAAAACTATGTTTTCTTATCAGACCAAAGAACAAGGAAGGAAAAAAAAAGTAAAATACTTTACCAATCTATGTCACTCAGGTACAATTTTGTGGTGGTATTTTTGTCTGTTTTCTTTGTATTACTCTTAAGAGTCCTTTCTCAGCATATTATTCTGCTCTTGCCTCTGTCCTCCTCGGGGCACCTCAGTTCTGGATGCTACCCCTGGGATCTCTACTGCGGTTATGTGAATGATAAGATGTAAGTGACCGTTATAGTAAGGGCTCTTTGTAAAAACTTAAAAATTTTTTTAAAAATTTAAAAAAGGATGTTGTATACATTTTATAGTCTGGCTATCAGTTTGATACCTTGCTGTCAAGTGTGTTTCTCAGTCTGTATTTATCCATCCCATCAATAAATGTTACTGATAAAACACTCATCTGATTGTTGTTTATGGGTAGTGAGCCTTCAAATTAGTCTTTAATTGTCATTTTATTGATATGATTATAGTTTTGTTTTACTTTTGGTTGTAGTATGTACTTTCTTACTGCAAAAGATCCTGTAGGAGTTGAGTTCTTTGGAAAGACCTAACTAAGATTTGGTCATCACAGCCAACCTGATAGTATAAGGTATGATGGAGGCAGAGGGAAAAAAAATCTCTTGTTCCGTGGATAACCTGGAAGGTAACTGGTACAGACAAAAATACATAGCTCTAACAGATGATAGCAATATGTACTGCTTATCTGGCAAGCACTGGCAATGATTCATAATTGTACACTTGATTCTTCAAAAAATCTGAAATGTTGGTATTATAGACAGCAGTGCATTTCGGAGAAAAAAATTAATAGCCTTCTTGGTGGTGCCTGGAAAAACTGATAGTGAATACTCACCCTTTTCTTGGGACATAACAAAACCACACACACAGGTAAGTTACACATTTAAATGAAAAGGATTTTTTATGCTAAAATACTGCAAAATTTTAAAACAAAGTAGCTATAGTTTAAAAGCTCTAATAGGAAAAAAATTGTTAATATTAAAGACTTGAAAAAAATCACAAATTCTGTTCATTCCTTTTTCTGTTTTCTAAAATAAGACAACTTAAGATTTTTGTTTTCTGTAAATATGAAACTTGTGGAAGTCGCTGTTACATTAGGGGTTTTGGTCTGGTTTGAATGGAAGAGTAGAGAAGCAGTAAATGAAAGATATGAGAATGAATGATACTATAAAATCATCAATTTAATGATTACCTGTTGTTAAAAGAGGTAACAGCTGTGTCATCCTTGGGGATAGGTGAGGTATAAATCAGTATAAATGTTCATACAACTGGATCCCCAGTTATAGGGGTTTGTTAAATTAATTGATATAGAGGTAGCTTTTATCCCTTGGTCAGTGCCTAATCATCTTAGTCTCCCTGACACTTGTGGGAGCTGAGTCTACATTCCATAGAAAAGTTTGAAGCTCTTTCTATGACTTGGATTCTCTTAAAGGCTTGTATTTAATGTAATCTCTAGCTCTGGGGCCCACTTCTGCTGAATTGATTGGGTTTATGGGTTGTCACATGTCCTACTTGTGCTACCTTTTTTGTTGTTTTTTTTTTTTTTTTGCACTGTGGAATGTTAACCCCTTCATTTCACATAACACTCAAAGCCAACAAATAACCAAAAAACCACAGTAATGAAAATAAGTTAAAATTGAAAACTAGATACACCTTTTCTGGAAGGTAGTTTCAGGCACTTCCCTGCCTTTCATTTATTCCTGCATTAGAAAATAGTACCTACCAAGTGCTCTGCTGTTTACTGATGGGAATATGGCAGTAAACTAAACAAGCATCCTGCTCTCACAGAACTTGCATTCTTGTTGTAGGGGAGACATGGTAGATGATGAGTACTTTGGAGAATGTAAGGTGCAAGAAGGGATAGGGTTTGTGTGTCTGTGTGCACACGTGTGTATGTAGATAAGTAGGTTGTTGAATTTTGAAATAAGATGGCTAGGGAGGAAGGCCTCATGAAATTACAGTTCAGCAAAGACCTGAGAGAGGTGAGAGGGCAAGCCATGGGAATAGTCGGGGTAAGATCATTCCAGGAAACAAGTGCAAAGGTTCTGAGGCGAGAAAGTGCTGGCATGTTTGAGAAACAGCGAGGAGGCCAGTGTGGGTAGTAGGAAATTGAGTGAGGAGGGGAGAGTAAGTAGCATATGTGGTTAGGCAGTAGAAGGCTAGATAATATAGGGCCTTGCTTGCCATTATTAAGACAGTGAAATGGGGCTGAAAAGTCTGAATAGAGAAGGTCTAGCTCGGGTTTTTAAATGTTCATTTGGGCTGCTGTGTTGAGAATGGATTATAAGGAGTCAAGGGAAGGAGACTCACAATAATTAAGGTAGCAGATGAGTGGCTTAGACCAAGTTGGAAGTGCTGAAGGTAATGAGAACTTACATATGTTTAAGTTGGAGCCAGTAGGATCTGCTCTAAAGTGTTGGAAAAGAGAAGTCAAAGATGACTCCCAGCGTTTAGTCTCACAGGCTGGAAGGATGGAGTTGTCAGATACTGAGATGAGGATGACTAGAAAGTGCAAGATTTTGGCATTCATTTATTCCTTCTCTCTCCCCACCCCAACACTTTCTCTAGGATTAGCCCCCAAAACTCCAAATTAATTCTCTTTCCTTCAAGAATTCATCTTTCCTAACCTCTGTTTACCAACAGCCTCAGGTCTACTTTAACCTATTCAGTAGTTAGTGAAGTGTTCAGTGGATTAAAAACAGCCATCTACTTTGTTAAAAAACACAAAGAATTTGCTAATATCGTGACCCTTTAATAATATCAACCCCTCGTTGACTTAGAAGGAAGTGGTTCTAAATAGCATTTTTGGGTCTGTTTTGGGCTCATCAGGAGGTTTTTTTTTATTCTTTCAACTAAGACCTTCAGTAGACCCTCTATAAAGTTTTTGTTACATCCTTATGTAGTCCCTGATGCCTCTACATTGTTCCCTGTAGTAGTTTCAATATTGTTTTCCGATATCACTGCATGTGGTTAAAGAATAGCAGATTTCCTGTGATGTGACTGCCTCTGCTAGTTTTGAGTTATAGGGTGTTTATAACAAATGCCTTTGTACCTCTTTGAGGGTTGGCATCTTTGCTTACATATATAACTCATAGTTGCTATTTAATATTATGGTTGTATTGCTTCCACAATCTCAAACTACTCTAAAATGTTTATTCCAAAAAAGCAGGGTTATCTTTCTTGTTTTCTCTATCCCCAGTGCTTGGCACTTAGGTGCTCAATAAGTATTTATTGAATGAATGAATTTCATGAAAGGGTCTTCCAGGGAAAGACCTAATCTCCGGGAAAAGGCACTTATAAATCCTCCTTCCCCCATTTTGGTTTTAATCACTTCTTGTGCCTAAACTGCTGTGCTTGAGCCTTGTAGATTCTCACTCACCACTGTGAATCATGCTCACCTGCTCATTTGTAGTGGAGAAACAGTTTACTTAAATGAAACCGACAGCACATAAGAGAGCTTGGAAAGGTTGGGATGCAAAACAGATCCAGAGGCTTAGGGGCCAAAGTGTCGGTTCATTAAAAACGCGAGGTGTAGTGGAGATGAAACACGAGAAATGCTTTTAACTAAGAAGTCCATTAAGGATGATAAAGTTGGGATTGTGTCTGCCATTTCTATATGTCTGCATTATTTAGCATGGAATTGTGGAGAATTTTAGAGAATCAAGGCCTCAACTAAAACTAACATTTCCTAATTCTCAGTCCAATGTTCTTCACTGTATGAGAGGCAATAAAAAGGATAAAGAATTAGGGCTGGGTTCCAATTCGCCTCCCTCCCCCATTACTAGATATGGGCCCATTCTGTTCCTCCGTTATCTTATCTGTAAAATGGAGATTATAGCTTCTACCTCTTAGGATTGTTCTGAAAATTTAATGTTTATATATGTAATTTCCCACACTCAGTAAATCCTCAAAAAAGTTTCCGTAAATGAACTGTTCACAAAATAAAACTTAAAGCCTTTTCCTGTATAAACAGTAAGAGTCAAATGTACAGTGATCTTTTGGCCTCTATATGCCTGATTTGGTATCCACCGTGTAAGGATGGTGAGGTATCTGCAGCTGAGACTCACGGCGACCTTTCGGTCGCTTTTGCGGCCTGAAAACCCGCCACGCCGCGAGGTGGAAGAGCGGTACCGAGCGAGCGGGTTCGGCAGCCTCACTCTCCCCGGAGTTGCTGACAGCTCTTCTCAGCCACCCAGCCGCGCCTTTTCTCAGCGCCCCGCCCTCTCAGGCTTGATTGGTAGCGGGCCTCGGCCAATGGCGACGCACAGTCGTAGGCGCAGTAGCCAATCAGCGGTTGGGAGCACGGAAAGGCATGGGGCCGAGTTAGAAGCGGCTGGCGCGGCCAGAAGGCGAGCGGCGCGGCGCAGCGCAGCACGGCGTGGCGCGGCGGCAGAGGTAAGATGGCGGGTGTGCTTGCTCTTCGCCTTTGCACTGAGGCTGCTGCTTCTCTCCTTCTGCCCTTTCCGAGCTGCTGTTCTGCTTCAGTCAGCGTCAGGGTCGCTCTCCTCGTGTAGGCTCCCAGGACCCAGAATCTCCCGTGCTGGGAGTCTTAGGACAAAATGGCGCTTGCACGGGCCGCCGAGGTTGGGCAGGGCCCGACCGTGAGCTCTGAGGCGGGCCGGGACAAAGGCGGCATCCGGGGAGGCGGAGGCCGAGGCGGAGCGCGGTACTGCGACGTTGCTGCCGCCGCGTGAGGCCGGCGCTGGCGCGTCCCCTCGTACCGCGGCGGTGCGAGCCCTTCGGATACTTTCAGCCTGGTGGTGGCCGGGGTCGGGGAAGGCTTGACGGAGAAATTGAGGTGAGGCAAATTACTAACGCCTGGGGAGACCTGGACGGGGGGAGTTGAGGATCGTGACTTCCGCTCGTCTTTTAGAAGCCACGCGCGGTCTGCCCGGATATTGTGGAGCAGGAATTTTCCGGAAGGGTAAGGAAGGGCTTTTTGATCTTTCGTGTGACCCTGCAGGTTTTGGTATGAACAGGATTCGGATCCACGTCTTGCCGACCAATCGGGGGAGGATCACCCCAGTGCCCAGGTCTCAGGAGCCCTTGTCTTGTTCATTTACTCATCGCCCATGCTCGCAACCTCGTCTGGAGGGGCAAGAGTTTTGCATTAAGCATATCCTTGAAGACAAGAATGCACCTTTCAAGCAGTGCAGTTATATATCGACGAAGAATGGAAAAAGATGTCCCAGTGCTGCCCCAAAGCCTGAGAAGAAAGATGGGTATATATGTATAGATATCTGTGTCGTTTGTAGTTTTAGCTTTTAAGTGAGAGGAGGATGTGGTATGATGTGGGTTTGGGAATAGCTGCTGAGTTTCGAGTTTTTAGGTCATGTGCTTGTAAAATTGACGCTATGGGTCTATCTTTGGGAAATTTTTTAACATGGTGAAAACTGGAAAAAAAAAACGGTGAAAATTGGAAGGAGACCACGTCCAGTTGGACCAGTTAATCTCTGGATCTTTCTGCTTATCTGTAAAGTAAAGGATATTCTAGACTATTCTTAACCCTGGGATCCACGGCTCTTTTGGCTGTCTTTGAACCTTAAGTAATAATGCAAAATTGTATATATGTGTATCATTCTTCTGGGAAAAGCTTGATAGCTTTCATCATTTATGCAAAGGTATCCATGCAGAAACATAATTTGGCTAGATAAATTCTGCATATATCTTCTGGTTTTAAAATTGTGTCTCACATCTTATTACCTACAATGGATTGATATTGAAGTGTATAGTTGCCTTCCAGAACCAGTTTTGAGAGATGAAAGTGGATCTCCTTGATTTGTTGTGAGATGATGTCAGCATTTTTATACTTGGTATGTTTTGTTTGATGGTAGAGCACTAGATTCTGCTACCTGCATTTCCCTTTAGTAATATCAAATGAGTTGACCTTGGGCCAATTAAATTATTCTGCCTCACTGGCGTTTTAAATTTATAAATGAAGATAATAGTCATTTTAATTTCCTGAAAATGATCTAAAGATCAGTGTCTGTGAAAAAGGAATGAACTCTTTCAAGAAGGAACCAGAGTATAAAATGTTAATGTTTTGTTTCCTTAGGGTGTCCTTCTGTGCTGAACATGCCCGTAGGAATGCCCTGGCACTTCATGCTCAAATGAAGAAGACCAGTCCAGGGCCTGTGGGTGAAACACTCTTGTGCCAGCTGAGCTCATATGCTAAGACAGAGCTGGGGTCTCAGACTCCAGAAAGTAGCCGCAGTGAAGCCAGTCGGATTCTGGGTAAGGATCTTCTCTCCTAGAATGAAAAAGGAGGAAGAAAGTTAACAAAGAACTTAATTTGGTTTAGCACGGTGCCTTGAACATGTGTGGCACTTGATAATACAATATTATTGTTAATTCACTGGCAATTCCATGAAAATTCAGGACTTCAATGTAATTCACCAGTCTTTTTGGTTTTAAGTAGTGTGTGCTTAGGTGTACTTTCCTGAGTTTATGACTATTTCCTTCATTGCTGTTTTTATATTTATCTTTGCTAGGCAGGAAAACAATAATTTTGAGTTGGCCGTTCTGTCCTTTTGAGGGTATGGTTAACTCATTTATATAAGTACTCATACTTGGGATGTATTTTCTTAAGCTGTTTTTTTGCCAGTGCCTCTGTGCTGAGTTTTTTTTAACTTTAAGGTTTGGGTTGATGTGTTAAGTAATCTAGTTTTGTGTGGTGGAGTTACAGAGGTGGGAAGTCTTAATGGCTGCTCTCCCTTCCTTGCCTCAGATGAAGACAGCTGGAGTGATGGGGAGCAGGAACCCATTACTGTGGATCAGACATGGAGAGGTGACCCTGACAGTGAAGCTGATAGCATAGACAGTGATCAAGAAGATCCCCTAAAGTAAGTTGTAACTCCACATAAGGCTTTTAAATATTTTACTAGTTAGTATGTGGAATGTAGTACTGCATGCTGTTCACAGATTAATTAACTAGGAGGACTGAAGATAGCTTAGCTATGTATGAACAGTAATAGCTTCTGTGTATTAAAAGTGTCATCATTTATCACCGTCTTGCTTCAAGGCAGGATTTGATTCTTTGTTAGAAGTCTTGTAATTTGGGACAATTTTTGGACATCAACTACACATGAGAAAGTGTAGGGGTGAAAATAGGAAATTTCTTGGACACAGGAGTGGGAGGTGGGTTGAGATCAAGTAGAGAAAATTGATGTGAATCAGTTCTTGGCTTAAACCTTAGGAATAATAAAGTGGTTGTATTTGAATAGCTACTTCTGCAAAATTCCCTTTTACTTATTTAAGAAAAATTAAAAGGTGTTCAAGAGCTTCCTTTGGTTTCATGCCTAAGAAAGAGAAACTGATTTAGAAACCCAGAAGTGAGTAATCAACCTAATTATATCTTACTAAAGTTCTATTTGTCACTTAACCCATGATCACTTTCAGAGTTGTAGATACTTAAAAACATTGTCACTCCAGTCTCGTATTTCTGTGTCTCATGGTTTGGATTTAGTTTAGTTTTTTGTTTTTGTTTTCTTTCTGACTTCTGTCTCTTAACACTTCCCACTGATAGTTTAGGTGGCAGAACTAAATTGTGGGAGGGGTAATGAATTTCTAGACTTGACCCGTGTTTGACTTGGATTCTTTTTTTTTTTCCTTCTTTTTAAATTCTTGGAATAGCATTTTCTTCATTCCTTGGATTCTGACGTTTATAAAAACTCATGTAGGGGTTACATTTTCTGAGTAGAATAATTTCACCTATTTAAGTAATCTCAGTTTAGTCAGCTATTCAGGAAGTACTTGTTTAGAAAGTCCATTTAGTTTGAGTAGAAATGTTTGTTTCTAGCAGGATTCTCAATAGAAACCTGATACCAAATGCATATATATATATATATTTTTTTTTTTTCCCATTGTGTTTCTAGAAATGTCAAACTTGCTGCTTTGAAGAGGTGTATGCTGTTTAGGGTCACAAAGTGACTGTATTTTGGTGTGGTAAACACTCAGTTTTGAAAGTCCAGGAACTTGATTTTGTCAGTAGTAATCTAGAGTGGATTTGTCCCTAGGGGACACATTCATGCTAATCTAATTTACAAGAGATTGCTATATAAACCAAAATACCAGTTAGTTTTATGAGAAGTATAAATGTTAAAAGGACTAGGTACTTGATGTCAGTTTCTCCTAAAAGGAACATTCAAAGGGGAAAAGGAAGCCCCAGATGTGCTCAGCTATTAGGCAACTAAATATAAGGCTTTCCTTAATTCTCCCACTGATAATATCCAAAACATTTTTTTGGCCCACTAAAATACAGTTGTCACTTGTTATCTGAGGGGGATTGGTTCTAGTATCTGTGGTGGGTACCAAAATCCAAGGATGCTCAAGTCCCATAGTGGGCTCTCCTTAACCTGGAGATCCTGCAATGGGGTGTTATGTATATGCATTTTTAGGGATGTAAGTAGAATTGTTAATTATCCACTTATAATAGTGTGGTTATGTATTATCATCTTATATTTAATGCAAGTGTTTTATTTAATGAAATTCTTTTAATTAAGAATTTTCACCTTTGGTGCCAGTGTTTTTGTCATCATTTTTGAATCAATACTTTTTGAATCAGTAACAGTTTACAGCATATATCTTCACTCACTTGTTTTAGAAAGAGTTCTTTTTGAATTGTTATGATCTTTATAGGCATCCAGAACTTATTTTGATAAAGATCATTTCAAGTCTTCATCATTGTTATCAAAGTAAAGAAATTTGGAAGTATGCACTTGAAGAGATACTATTTAATAGACTATAAGGTGACTCTTTCTTGAAGTTGAATTCTGACAATAAAACCTAGATTTAAATTTGTGCATATCAGATCTAGAAGACTTAGTTCATGATTTTAATAACTGGCTGTGAAAGTCTGAAACATCCATCTTTAAATAATTGATCCATTTGTCACATGAACTAGGCATTCATATTAGTTTGGATGCTCACTGCCCTCTCCCCTGCAATGATTTGTAGTAAATTCTGATTGTAGTGTCTTCCCATTTATAAATTCTAATTCCCAGCTCATTGATTAAATTCTCTTCTGATGGTACAATGAAATTAATTTCATATTAACAAACTTGATACTAAGGTAAGGCCTCAGTACTTCAGGGCTGCAGACATATTAATGCAAACAAGCCCCATTTTCCTGAGTATGAATAAACCTTTTCATATTTTTTTATAGTCTTAGATTTTTGACATTTCTATAATTTGCCAGTTTTATTCACGTTTTGGTTCTTAATTTCTGTTTATACTTTAGAGTGCTTTGTAATTGTACTTGTTTCTTAAACACTGGTAGTATTGTCTCCTATTTATATTTATGAAAAATTTTTGACGGAGATTACTTGCTTTCAGTCCCAAAGTTTGTTTATTCTGTGTATTTCAGTGATTTAACAGCTGAATTTTAAAGAGCACGTAATTTTTGGATTTAAAATTAGTATAAATATCAAGTCAAGGTATATAGCTTGCTCTTTATATAATGATTACACAAGACAAATGGAACCAAAAATCTTTAAGATTTGCAGTTAATCTCTTAAATTTTGAGTTACTTAATTCAGAGGCAGAAAACAGTCTTTAATTAAACTGATTTTTAACTCATTTCCTTATGTGACCTCATTAGTCACTAGAATAACTTTTTTAAAAGTTCTGTTAATTCACAACTGGTGGCAAAGTGTAATAAAGTTGATGTGGAGCTAGATCTTTGGCAATTCAGGTTTAACCCAGGGTGCTGTCTTTTAAGAACATTGTCAAGAAAATGAGCTGAGGACATTGAATAGCCATTGTGACCCGTGTTTTGGGGGCCTATGTAAACTCCCACATAGAAGTGTATTTTTAAATTAAAAATTGTAATTATTTGTTATCTTTTGTACTTTAATTAAAATATATTAAGATACATGATACTAAATTAAGCACTTTTAAGCTGTCCTCACTGATAAGTGATTTTCATATATGAAATTATTAAATGGAACAAGAATGTAGATTAATAAAAGTTTTGAGTATTTTGTATCTTCACTTCTATTTAAACACAGTGCACATAATTGGAGAAAATAATGAATCGCTTCCTTTTCCCCAGATTGTGAAATCATATTTTAGTATTCATTCTTGGGAATTTTCTTTTTTGTTTTTTTAATAACAACTTGAATGGTAAAATGCTGTGTGAAAACATTCCTATTTAATAAGGTGATTGTCTCAGCACGGACTGCTTGTTGAATAGCAAACTTAAGTCTAACCTTTACTCTTTTCTCCTGTTAAGCTTGGGTTTTATTAATACGCTTCTTATGCTTTGTTGAATCCTCTATTTTATTCTAGACATGCTGGTGTCTACACAGCAGAAGAAGTGGCTCTAATAATGCGTGAAAAGCTAATTCGTCTGCAGTCTTTGTACATTGACCAGTTTAAAAGACTTCAGCATCTGCTCAAAGAGAAGAAGCGACGTTACTTACACAATCGCAAAGTGGAACATGAAGCTTTAGGCAAGTTTTATGCCAGTTCCAACAAGCTGTTGTGGGTTCAACATGTGAATTTGGTGGTAGTTAGATTTAGTTCTGTCTTGTTATTTGGATTGGAGGAGGATGTGCTTTGAAACTGTCTTTTGGCCTGTTTACTTCTTATTAATTTGGAGAAGCATCCTTGATTAGTTGCTTGGCAAATAACATCTTGACTGTTGTGACTCTCCAGGTAGTAGTCTCCTGACTGGCCCAGAGGGACTTCTGGCCAAAGAACGAGAGAACTTAAAGCGTCTAAAATGTCTCCGACGGTATCGTCAGCGCTATGGAGTGGAAGCCTTACTACATAGGCAGCTGAAGGAACGCAGAATGCTGGCCACAGATGGTGCCTCTCAGCAGGTGATTTGTGTGTGTGTGTGTGTGTGTATACATATATACGTGTAAGTATAAATGTATATATGTATACAGTTGCTTTATTTAAAAAGTTACAGTTGTCAAAACACTGTTAACACAGTCTTGGTTCTGAAATCTGACTTCTTGGACGTTGGGTATATTGAAAAGAGCACTTACCTGGAGGTCCAGAGACAGGGGTTTTAGTCTCAGTTCCCTTCTGATAGTTCTGTGCCTGCACTGATAACTGAATTTCTCTTGGCCTCTGTTCTCATCTGCATACTGAAAGGTTGCCATAGGTTTCTAAGTTACTAGGTTCAAAAATTCTTCAGTTCAGAAATAGGCACGGAACACCTAAGTAGCTTGGGACTCTTACTTTAGAAGGTGGGAAGATAGAATAATAGGAGCAATGAATGTCAGGAAGGTTGATAAGGAA